GCTTTTGATACTTAAAAAAAAAACCATAAAGTTCCTTAAACTCACTTATCAATTATTATAAGGATGAACTATAAAAAAATAAAATTTCAATCATGGAAAAATTCTCATAAAATCATGATTAAAACTTAATCAATATAACTTGTAAAATATTTATATTAACTTGAAATAAATAAATAAATAATTAATTAATTAACTCATAATTGTATTAATCTCAAAATAAATTTAAATTTTAAAAAAATTCATTTTAATTAAAAAAATGTAATAAAAATCCACTTTTTATCAAGCACATATTTGAACTCTACTTCAAAATCAAGTAGAAACTTTCAGAATTCCAAAATAAGGTAAAATTGAAAGTACTTATGAGTTATGACCTCTCATTGCTCTAAAATTTACAACAGAGGATAAGCATAAGTTCTACCAAACACAGCCAAAGAGAAAACAAAGAAGAAATCACAGATTCAGCTTCTTGGAATTGATACTTTACAGATAAAACAAGCTTTAATTTCTTCTACATGATCAGACATCTCAAGAACTATCAAATCAAAGAGAAAAAAAAAAAAAAACAGACAAAAATATGAGGAAAAAGAAGACTATCATAACCTTCTGATCCATTTTCAGACAAAATGAAATACATAGGCTGTTCCTCGTTAAAAACCTGGAACAAGCTCCACTGCCACTTCTACTATTGAGCAAAACCATTAAGCTATTTTCCAATCTTGTGAAAACTAGTAGTAGCATATAAGAAGCCAAACCTCACACTGCCTTGATCAGCTGAAGGGAAGTTAGGCATGGACGCCATTGCCATTTGCATAGTAAGGTCCATTCGAGAGGTGCTTTGTATGTCCATTTGGGTAGACCATTGCGACCGAGGGACTGTTGCTTGTGACCATTTTTGTCGGCAGCAAGTTGTCGCGGCCTTGCGCTTTAAGCAACACGTCGAGTTGCCCACAAGAGGCGGCGATTAGACCTAAAATCATGTAGAGATGGTGAGTTTATCAGCTCAATCATGATTAATTTAAGTATCAATAAGCTTTCCTTAGACACAAATATCATAAAATAAGAGATTCAGGCTTCGTTTGGGACAACTTTCTTACTGCTACTTAAAGCCAGTTTCTAGTTTAAAATTTTTAATTTTTTTACTAGAAAACTGCTTTAAAAAGTAGTAAAAAAGCCGTCCCAAACGAAGCCTCAAACAGATGTTTCCATTATGGTGGCAAAAGACTGAGGTGATAGGTGCTTCCATAAGTGAGCTGCTAAAAAAGATAGCTACTATGCAAAAATTAATTTTATTACATATAATACATAAAACAGCGGCCTTCCGATGACTCGGTTAGAAAAGTAGATGCATTAGATTTGGCTTATGTTAAGAAAGATAGAGATAGACCTAAAAAGACTTTGTTAGAAAATATTAGAAATGACCTTTCTTTAGCAGATTTAAAAGAGAATTTAGCTCTTAACATGACACATAAGAGAACAAGGATTCATGTAGCCGACCACACATAGTGGGATAAAGGCTTGATGTTGTTGTTATTGTTGTAGAATACTTTTTAAGTGACAAGCATTACATCATGTCTGTTAAGCGAAATAATGAATTTTTATGTTCCATTTTATTTCAAGCTTAAAAAATATGTTAAATAGATTATTTAGATTAAGTAGAGTTAAAACACTTATGTATGTCCAACATATGCGGCCGGATCTAAACAAGTTGTGGATATCAAGCAAGCTCGCAGAGAAATCAAAGAAGGTCAGGCGAACTCGCCCAAGGAGAGCTCAACCAAAGAGGGCACTCTCCCCAATTATGACCCATTCGCCTAAGTACATTCGCCCCATCTAGAGCGCACCCACCTCAAAATTTATGAAGCGAGCACTAAATAGTTGAGCTCAGAATAATGCTTACCTAAGAAAAGAGCAGAAGGTTTCCTAGGTCTTGACTTGAACTCTGGATGGAACTGGACTCCAACATAATAAGGATGCGAAGGCAGCTCAAGAATCTGCAGATAGAATGTTAACGTTTGTAATATAATGACTCTAAAATCTATAGTTGAAGAAGAAGGAAAATCTTGAAAATTGTGCAGGCTTACCTCCATTCTTCTACCACTTTCATCCTTGCCCACAAAAGCAAGACCAGACCTTTCAAGCTTCATAACCAAATCAGGATTTACCTGCAGTTAAAACCAACATGATCAAATCAGAATTTCTGATGTGAAATATATGTAGTTAGTAGTTACACTTCTCTTCTTTTGGAAGTATAGAAGCTCTCACTCCCACACATCTCTTGTGCCATTCATTTACATCTTTGAGGTTTAAAGTAGATTATCCTCTAGGCAATGTTATATTTAAGTAGATAAAATGGATGAAAACACTAAGCATTGGTTACTTAACAAGATTTCCACATGTTTTGCCCTTCAACAGCTCTCAACAGTCAAGTTGCTTCAACTATATTATGGAGCTCTCAGAATCTGAGTAATTGAAACAAGCTCTCCATAAATGCATGGTAAGGCTTCGTTTGGGACGACATTCTTACTGCTGCTTAAAACAACGTTTCTGTACTAAAAAGCTGCTTTAAGAAGCAGTAAGAAAGACGTCCCAAATCAAGCCTAAGACTACATACATCATACCATAATATAAGCTATGCATTGTGTATAACCTTTTTAATTGGAAATATGTGTGAAAAGTTCTCAAGAATTTTTCTATTACTTAAAAAAGGAAAATAAGCTAGAATTTTCCATGCAGAGGGAAAAAAAAAGAAGAGAACTTTAGTAGCACCAACCTCATATCTATGCCTATGCCTTTCATCTACATACTTCACATTTCCATACCTGTTAATAAAAAAATTGTTCAGGTCATCTGAAATAATCAAGATAAGATATTCCACATTATAGATCACACCAAAAAAAAAAAAAAAAACATGAAGAGTTTGAGGATTCAAATTCCTTACAACTTGGCAGATTTGCTATCTTTAAGCTGGAAGTAAGTTCTCCTAGATCCAAGCCTCATCGTACCCCCCATATGTGTTTTGGAACCCTAAAAAGACAAATCATACATTCAAGTCCAGAATGTTAGATCATTCATAATTTAGAAAGAAAGAAAGAACATTGAGAAGGAAATGAAAGAAAAAACAAACCTCTGGCATAAATATTACACATGGGTTCTTTGTGTTAGTATCAAACTCCATGCTATTTGCATCTTGTAAATTCATGACATTGCGAGCAAATTCAATCACTGCAACTTGCATGCCAAGACAAATGCCTAGAAATGGGATATTATTTTCTCTGGCATATTTTGCAGCAAGAATTTTCCCTTGGATGCCTCTATCACCAAAACCTCCAGGAATTAATACTCCAGCTGCACCCTGCATTGTAAAATTTCAGATTCTAAATAAATTAGAAAAATGTTCAAAATAATCCCTGGAGTATTTGTATGCGGTCGTTTTAGTTTCGGCTATCTACTGTGCTCGATTTAGTCCATTGACAATATGTTCTAAAATAGTCCCTATATTGGATCATTTTGAATCAAATTTAAGAAATCAAATGACTATTTTAAATAATATTTGAGGAGATAGAAGACCGAATTACACACATTAGATAGTTTGGGACTAGAATAACTTCCCAATAATAGAATGTGCTAAGTGTCGCCTTCCAGAATCATGTACACTACTTTAGTATACAACAACAACAACAACAACAACAACAACAACAAGCCTTTATCCCAATTTGTGGGATCAGCTATATTAATACTTTTTCATCATTGTGTCCTGTTAAGAGTCAAATTCTCATTTAAATCTAATAAAGAAAGGTTATTTCTAATATTTTCTAACTAAGCCTTTTTAGGTCTATCTCTACCTTTCTTAATGTACACTACTTTAGTATATATATAAAAGGACAAATAAACACAAAAAACTAACTACCTTCAATAGATTCCAAGCTGCTTTATGAACATAATGTGCCTGAGAAGTATTTCATCAACCCTTTAGAACAAGTAAAAAAAAGAGATGGTCAAGAAAGAAGGAGAAAAAAGAAGTTTAATAAACCTCTTCTGCAGTTGAGTCTTCAAGGTCCATGGAAGAAACCCAGTCTATCACAAGTTTCCTACGGCAGGCTACAGAAGCATGTAAGAGAGCCTACAAATTTTGCACAAAAATGAATTACTTTGCCTATAGCATTATAAGGATTTATAAAGAAAGAACACAAATCCAAATATGAATCATAGAGTAACAGATTGATCTTGGGCTATTTGAGATCAGTTAGCAACCAAATAGAATAAAGTCTAGAACATGAGTTGAGAGCACTGAGTGTTGCTTTCTTATATTGTATTTATCAAATGGACAAATATTTAAACGGTCATGTGGCATGAGAGAAATATTTCAATACAAACTTATATAATAGTAAATAATATTAAGATTTATATGCATATAAAAGCAGTAGGAAAGGAATAGTCTCTCCATAGGCATATTTGCACAGATAAAAAAGACTTATTAGAGAGAGGAGTACCTTTGCAACAGAAAGATATGCGTCAGAAAGACCAGTATATTTTCCAACTATGGCAATCCTAACCTGAAGATGTTTTGGCGCTTCAAAGTTAGAAGAAGAAGAGAAAATTCAAAACATGACAGGGCGTTTAAATATGTTCTAAACCCACAGGATCACGTAGAGTGTCACAGGTTTTAGCCATGGAAGTCCATTCCTCCAGCATTGGCTCTCGAGTTACACTGCAATTATAAATAATAATTTTAAACCTTATAGCCTCTTGTGTTATCACCATAAGGATGTTATTAAGAACAAATATAAAGTTATCAAAGCAATTAGACTGACCCTTGGAGGTTCAAAGCTCTCAAGATAGCAATATGTGCCTTCTGGTCCTATAATAAAATGAACAAAGTGAGAACAAAGCTGGAAAGTTGAAGGTGAAAAGTTCCAATTACAAATCAGAAAGAGAACAGATACCCTTAGAAGCAAAGGAATATGCCAAATGTTTGGAACATCATAAAGAGTAACAATATTTGACTTCTGCAACATCATTTGTATCAAAAGCAACTTCAGTCAACTAATTGCATGCCATTTCAGAAAGCAACATATATGAATTACAAAATGCCAAGACATTTGCGACAATACCTGAACATGGCAAAATTGTGAAAGCTTTTCTTTGACATTTTCATCCAAAGGCTGAAAAAGAAATGTCCCATAAAGTTACAACAAATCAGGTGTGACTAAAACAGTAAATCAGAGCCAAGACTGGCTTTTAGATATATAGAGAAAGAGAAAAAGATAAGAGTCAAAGTAAAGAGAGACCAGTGCACTCCTGCAAGCAAGAATATTTGGAGACAATCCTCGTCCTCTCAGACCCCGAACACTATGTTGCGTTGGCTTTGTTTTCTGCAATTAAGAAGAAAACATTATTACAACAAATTGAATACAAAAACAGGTTTTACAGCTCGAAAAAATGATATGGGGCAGTCCAAAACTCGATGAATTATTCTGTGCGAATGCCGAACGCCGTTCAGATCCCAATGAAAATGCGTCACGTCACCTCCTACTTTGTACCGCGGCTAAGTACTGCTCGGTACTGGATGACGTGGATGCACCTGATTCGTCCTGAACGGTAAGCTGTTCCCGGTGTCCGCTCAGAATTATCTCTCCCAAAACTCCGTTAATATTAAGCTGACACGTTTGCAAATGCTTTTAAAAAGAAGAAAAGAAATGGAAAAATATACCTGTTCACCAACAACATTTAGAACTGGCACAAGGCTGACATGAACAAGGCAAAAGTTGCCGGGGCCTGAAACAAAAAGACATTAAAATGAATTGTTAAATACATTGAATGGTAGGAGAGGGAAAGCTTCGAAAAGAAAAAACAATCATCTTCAAGTTATCTATGTGAATGGACTCTCTCACCTACACGATAGGAGAACTGACTAAGAGCTTCAATAAATGGCATGGATTCAATATCTCCTGCATTAAGAATTCCATTTTCATTATGATGCAAAAAGATGGCGTCTCCTGCACCATATTTTGCACAACTATAGGAAGCAAACCGCGAATTTAAACTTGAATGGATAAAGAACACCATATACTATCAATTATTTTAAATTTTGTTATTACCTATTGTTCCACCAAGTTCTATAACACAGACATCAGCAGGTCCTTCTTTTCCATCAGTGGGAATCAATGCTACCCGTTCAATCCATTCTTGTATGGCATCAGTAATGTGTGGAACAACCTAACAGTAATAAACTTTGAGGGCCACATACAACACAACAGGTTGAAGATTCATAAAAATTGATAGCACTTTATGTAGAACAATGACACACCTGAACAGTTTTCCCCAAATAATCTCCCTTTCTCTCTTTATCAAGAACAAACTATCAACAAAAAAGTTATAAAAAAAACAAAGAAAAGTACCAAATTATGAACACAGAAAACCAAATAATTTAAAACTTTGTTATAAGCACATCAAATGATGTAACGCTTGGAAGTTTCAAGGAAGAATATCACTACCTGGTAAATCTTTCCAGTAGTAATGTTATTATCACGTGTCAGTTTGATGTCAAGGAATCTTTCATAGTTACCAAGATCCAAATCCACCTTTAAAACAATAAAAAATGTACCACATTAAGGAAAAAAAAAATCTTCACAAGCAAGAAATTAAACTTTTTTTTCTAACTTGGTGTGGAAAATTGGGATGGGAGCATAATCATGGAGTTTTTTTGAATTAAAAACCTCCTAAACTCAAACGAGTGCACCTAATAGTATGTTTAAAAAGATTTATAAGAATGATATCAACTTAAAATCAGGCAGGAAATGCACCCAACAATTTAGGCAATACCAATGGAAAAAGACAATGATACAGACAACTGACATAATAAAAAATGATGAAAAGAGAAAAGGTAAAAGATAACTAAAAAGAGATCAAATTGTGGTAGCAAATACAGTCCACCTTAGCTTTTCCTTACCTCTCCACCATCATCTAAAACAAAAACTTCTCCATGCTCGAAAGGAGACATCGTTCCCGCATCAGTATTGAGGTATGGATCTGTGTGTAACCATTGAACAATTTAAGAACTTATAATTTTTCTTCATATGAACAATAAAATTTGAATGAATTAACGGTCACTGCAACATTACTGTTAAGAAAGTTACTAGTTATCTTTCATTTTGGTGGGGAGATTGAAGGGCCTTAGGGCATCTCCAACCGAACTCTAAACTCTTGAATGGCATCGCTCGCGAGCTCCAGCCGAACGGTAAAATTTCCGCTATTTGGTTGCGGGTGAACAGCGGGACGTCAATATTGACGTTGCATTGTTCATCTTCGCCATTTTTTATGTCTCTACCAAACTTACCGAAGAAATGCGCAAAAGAAGTGAACAACCGTCACCTTCGCAAAATGGGGCAAAATGGAGTTCAAATGGAGATGAATCGCGGCATTTTGGAGTGAAAAATGAGATTTTCGGTTGGAGATGCCCTTAGTTCCTTGACCCACCATGAAATTTGAACTATTTAAACATGAAAAACTTAGTAATTTCTTAACTACAACGATGGAAGAAGAAGCAGACAGTATACAAACACCAGACAAAGCAAATTCAAAATATCAAAGCCCGGTTGGTCCTGAATTATGTCAAAACCAAACCCCACCAATGGCGGGGCCCTGTCACCTAACATTATCCAACGCAAGCACATGCCATCCTGCATTCCTGCTACAGTGGGAAAGTAGCCTTCTTTAGCTAATTTCTGCAATTTTTCATGTCCTCTAGAACTACTACGAATTCAAAAAAAAGGAGAGATTTACATACAAATCACTTCATTTCATGCTATTTACATATCTAAAAAGAACTAAAACCTTCGGTTTCAATCCTATCAGTTTTTCATAATAAAATCATAAACTCAATCACACACATCTAGTATACAAATCTCCAACTCAAAACCTCTTAGTTGACAGCCTAAGCTCCAAAACCAATTAAAAATTTTTCATAAACCTACAAGTTCCAAAAAGAAAGTCAAATTGGCATAAGAATCAGAAAAAAAAAAATGCTAGGAAAATCTAAAAAACCTGGGAAAAATAAAGAACACTAACTACAACCAGCTCCCACAGTATCTCCCCCATTCATTTGTGAGAACCAATGAATCTTGTCCTTCCACACTCACAAACTTCAAAAAAGAAACAAATTTAGAAAAAGATTTATATTCCGGTGAAGATAACCTTTCTTTGACACGGAAAGGAAAAGATGAATAGAGCCGATTCAAAACCAAAAAAAGACCGCGAAGAAAAGTCTCCGGCGAGGCGGCGACATACCAATCTTGATGGTGGTGACTCTCATACAGCACGCCTTAAGCAGAACCCCAATGCTGCTCGCTGTCACCCCCTTCCCCAACCCACTAACCACTCCCCCCGTTACCACCACGTACTTCATTCCCAACCCTCTACGCTCTGCTCAAAACCTTTCCTTTAATGGCGGAAACGAGTCGTTCCCCGGCCCTCTGATCACCGCTATCTTCTTCTCCGGTATGAACTGAGAAGAGAAGCTTGCCGAGCTTAGTGGACAAGAGCACAGGAGACGAAGAAGAGAGCGCTAGGAGTGGAATGAGGAGCATGTAGCGGAGGGCGAGCCCATTAAATACACAAGCTCGATCATTCCCGCTTGACTTCTGTAGCTCTCTCTCTCTCGAGAAATTATTGTGTATTTGTGACATAATTTTTTCGTGATAAATAATTAGTAAATAAATAATACTCACTAAATATATAAAAAATATGCAAAAAATACGTAGAAAACATAATGTATCAAAAAATACACAGTAAAATAAGCAGTAAATACGCAGCATCTGAACACAATTCTGTGTTCCGATTACGTACACCCCTCTCTCTCTCTCTGCTCTCTCGTTATCGCTCGTTTTCTTTCTCTTCGGCCTTTAGTCAAGCTATTTATTTATTTATTTCAAATTATTATAAAAAAAAGTAAAAAACGGCTGATTTTTTATTTCTTTTATTTTAATAAATTTTTTTAATATCTTGCTTATATTTTTATTCATTAATAGGTTAGTTACGACGACTCAAACGAGTGCTAACAATAGGGAAATTTTACTTTATACTATCATAATAAATATAATTGATTAAATATTTCATTATTTATTTTTTTTAAAGTATGCCTCAAAAATTTTTTCGAGAAAAATTATATTATATTATATTCATGGACAACTTATGAAAGTATATTGTGAATACATTTAGGATGTGCTCCCAAAATTAATTTTTGAAGTTTCTAACTAGCTTTTGCCTCGAGATTCGTGCCGGATCAAGATAATTTTGTGATGCGGTATCATCAATTTTTCTTTGTTTTAATTGGATATTTAAATAACGTTTATCATCAATTTTTGGATATTTAAATAACGTTTATCATCAATTTTTGCTTAAATTTCATTAACATATAACTAACAAAATAACAATAAAAATCATATCAAAAGTAGAATGGGTCAATAAAATTTTAATTTGAAAATTAAAAAAGTAATAATGATCTCTTCAAAGTATAATAATATTTTTGTTATAGTCTTTTGTGATCCAACTTAACTCTGTTTTTGTATTTTCGGTTAGCTTTATATAGATGTAATTTCTTTAGGTTCTTTTGTAGCTTTGGTGTTGCCATTTGTGTTTATATGTAAACATAAAGGCTTCGTTTGGGACGGCTTTCTTACTGTTTTTTAAAGCAGCTTTTTAGTACAAAAGTTTTATTTTTTATACTTAAAAACTGTTTTAAGAAGCAGGAATAAAGTCATCCCAAACAAAGCCAAAATCTGCATATCAATCTCTCTAAAAGTCAAGACAATAAAGTTTTTGTTCGATGTTTTGCTCTTTATCATTTTTCCCTCCCTCCCTCTCATCCAAGAAGTTCAAGAAAGCTTCCTTCCTCCTCAGAAAATCCCAACAATTCTATTAAAATAATTGGAAAATATTTTATTAGTTAAATTACACCTTGAATTGCTCATCTTGAATGAATCTATGATGACATTAATCCATGCTCTATTTCCAAATGTTTGATATTCTCTTTGGCAATTTTCAAAGATTTTAGTAGTTCAAATGCTCTATTTTCAAACTAAAATTATATTCTCTTGGGCATTTTTCACACACAACATACCCAAGAAATTTAAGAGAGAGAGAGGCATTCGGTCTTAGGCTTTATTTGGAACGCCTTTTTTACTTATTCTTAAAGCAGTTTTTTAGTTCAAAATTATAAATTTTGAACTAAAAAACTTCTTTAAGAAGCAGTAAAATAGTCGTCCCAAATGAAGCCTTAGTGAATTGCTAGAAAATTAATATTAAAAAGTAAGAAAGCCATCAAAAACTAAGTCAGAGTTTAATTGCATAAAGAACGTAATTGCGACATATAAAAATCTATGATCACTATTGTTGCGTCCAAGAATATTTGCGGCGGTAGAGAAATACCATTTTTAACATCTTAGCATTGTATGAAAATCCGGCACGCAATCAGATAAGAAGAGATGGTCTAGCATTTATGAGACACCAAGATTTTTACGTGGAAAACCCATGTAAAAGGGGGGAAAAACCACGGGGCCTAGCCCAGTTTGAATGAATCCACTAGTATTGCAGTCGATTACAAATGAGGCCCTTCCTTGGTGGAAGGTCTTAGCTTGATGTACATCTTATGGAGTACATTATATGATGTAAATACAAATAGCTACTATCAACGTATTCGCTTTGTTAGAAGGACTGCAGTCGGCGTGCGACATAGGTTAGGAGGACCGTAGTCAACTGGCGACGGAGGACTGTAGTCGACGGGCGACGTAAGTCAGGAGGACCGTAGTCGGCGGGCGACGGAGGTCGGAAATGTAGCGTCCCAGATATCAATAGTGAAAGGATTCATCTGACATTCTTCCATATCTATTTTTTTTCTTTTTTTTCTCGTTCTTTTCTTTCTTTTTCTCGTTCAGATCAATACAGTCATCAAGAGATAATTGCATTACAGAAAAGAAATATAATAACTACTATAATTCACATTTCAACATATATACAGTCAAAAGGAACGTCCAAAAGAATATGTGCAATAGCCATAGGCTACAAAAACAAGACTACACTAGCGACCAAAGAAGCTTCACGCGGGAGGCTCTGCACCTGAAATATTAGCCACATATAATGAGCTTAAATAACCCAGCAGGTCACCAAAGCCTACAATTGAAATCAAAGCACGATACTGGAAACAATATGTATGTCAATCAAATCAAGTCAAATCAATCAATCGTACATAATCAATGAGTCAATGCAGATACGAAAATCAATACGGAACAGAAATCAATAAAATCAATAAACAGTAGGAAATCCATAAAGCTCAAGAAATCAATGCATGCATCAAATCTCTATAACAATCGATAACATTAGTTACATCAATAGAATGGAATCGTATCAAAACATTCACTTGCAAATCGATCTATTATTCAATATCACTTGCTCCTTGTCAGTACGACAGCGTATGTATCAATATCCACAAAGAGAACAATCCAATGACGACCACGAATGATGCTACAACAGTGAAACCGCATCAATCAATTCAGTAAAGCAATTACTTCCGGTCAATAATATCAATCGGCCTAGAATCCCATAAATCGATCAAATCGATACATCGTAAAAGCAATTGAAATAAATCAATACGATTGGCAAATACAATTGAAATCAATCAATGCAATAAAATCATATACAACAATCAATGAATCAATACAATATCCATATACATAACGGTGTCGGTATCTATGAATCAATAACATACAATATCATTGAAATCGTGCAATAACAGAAACCCATAAATCCGTCAATAAATCCAATCAGTAATAAGTCAATTCAATACAATAAATCCGTCAATATCAATAAATCAATCAGAAATCAATAGGTCATGCCTATCAGGAAATCCATACAATGCAATATCGTACACATGCAATTTCATACAATGACCTTACTGAATAAGTACAAACACTGGCTATTATCAATAGTGCTGTTGGAGAATTCATATTGCTGTTGTAGATATCCATATATTGGTTTCAATAAGAGTCGTCACTCTGTGCCCATCGGCTGCCCGTCGGCACAATAAACTCCTTATAACTCCCAATCGTTATATCAATGATCAATAGTTTAAAGGAAAGCCCGTCGGCCCACCATCCTGTATAGGTCAAGTCAATCTCCAACCAACGTTCAACCAGGCTTCACTTGTCTTTCAGTATTTAATAGTCAAATAGTCACATTCGCATGCATATCAATTCAAATCATCAATTTCAGAAAATCAGAAATCGTACGAAAAACCAGCGGCGTAACGGCAGTATACGGAATTTACACAAAAATCATCAAAACAGAATTTTACCAAATTACCATAGAGCATTCACAACAACATTATAAGGCTTCTATTCTACTGAAGCGACATCAATCAATAACCCGATAATTATTTATTCGATTAAAATCACAATCTATTCGATCAAAATTGCGTAGAACCCAAAATAACCGGTAGAATCGTTACAGAAAATACTCAAAACGTGTAGAATAATCATATCAATAACATATCAAAAGTTGCGCGGTGAAAGTTTCGTCAATACAAAATGCGGCGTGTTTATCGGTCACGAAAACACAAATCCGTGCCCAAAACGACCAAAACTCAACATCTTTGAAAACAGAAATAGGAATCGGAGTCCTTACAGCGAGACAAACACTTTTCTCAACAGCGGCGTCGGACGAAAAGCGCTCCGCGGCCTCCGAAAACGAGCTTTTCCTTCGCTTCCCTTCTCTTTCTCTCTCCTCATATATTTTGATTTTTATAAAAATCTTTTCACTCTCCTCAAACCGAACTGATTTCCTTATAAAATAAGTCTGATCGTCCTGGCCGATCGCCACATCGTCCAGGACGATATGACCAATTTTCAATCGTCGATGACGATTTTGCAGGACGATAATTAATTTGCCAAAAACCCTTGCTCTCGGGATTTTGCCATGCACTGATCGTCCCAGGACGATCCCAAATCGGACTGGACGATCCTGGGAGGAAAAATCAAATCTGAGAAGGAAAATCAAAGGAATGAGCTCTCACAGGAAAGATTATAGTCGGCAGGCGACATAAGTCAGGAGGACCGTATTCAATGAGCGTCGGATGTCGGAAAGACTGTAGTCGGCGGGCAACGTAAGTCAGGAGGACCGTAGTCGGCTGGCGACGAAGGTCGGAAGGACTGTAGTCTGACGATGAAGATTAGTAGGACAGCGTCAGGTAGAAGTCCAGCAATGGAAAGAAATGCATCTTCGCATAGACGTCCAACGAAGTCCGATAACCGGTAGAAGTCCGGCGTCGGGTAGAAACTTGGCGAAGAGTGAAGGTCCGATGTCGGGTAGAAGTCTGACGTCTTTGATGACAGAGGAGAACTTCGGCTTCACTTGGGCGGAGTTTTGGCGTCAGGAGGGAACTCTGTTGTTAATTGGGAAGGATTTCAGCATCACATGGAAGTTGTGCAGAATTCCTGTGTTTCCTGAAAATCCGGCAGAGTTCCGGCATCTTCAGGCGGCATGAAGAGCTCCGACGGTGGTCGAGGAGGTGAGGAATCTCATTTTCCCCTTTCTCCTCTTCTTCTTCTCTCTCTTCATTTGAGCTCTCTTGGTGTAGAATGAGTGCTCTATTTATAGTTTTTCTGG